GATACTATGTAGTCCAGTTCTGATACTATGCTGTCCAGTTCTCAACCAATGCAGTCCAGCTCTGATACTATGTAGTCCAGTTCTGTTACTATGTAGTTCAATTCTGAAACTATGCAGTCCAGCTCTGATACTATGCAGTCCAGCTCTGATACTATGCAGTCCAGTTCTGATAATATGCTGTCCAGTTCTCAACCAATGCAGTCCAGCTCTGATACTATGCAGTCCAGTTCTGATATTATGCTATCCAGTTCTCAACCAATGCAGTCCAGCTCTGATACTATGTAGTCCAGTTCTGAACCTATGCGGTCCAGCTCTGATACTATGTAGTCCTGTTTTGACACTATGCAGTCCAACTCTGATATTATGTAATCCAGCTCTGATACTATTTAGTCCAGTTCTGCTACTATGTAGTCCAGCTCTGATACTATGTAGTCCAGTTCTGAACCTATGCAGTTCAGTTCTAATACCATTCAGTCCAGTTTTGATACTATGCAATCCAGTTCTGATACTATGCAGTCCAGTTCTGAACCTATTCTTTCAGCTCTGAGCCTATTCACTAAGTGCTGAACTTGCCCACATACTTCTGTACGTCTCTACTCAGTTCTGAACCTCTCCAGTCAGCTGATCAGCTCCTTTGAACTCACGTGATTAGGTTAGGTTAGGTTAGGTTAGGTTAGGTGAGGTGAGGTGAGGTTAGGTTAGGTTAGGTTAGGTTAGGTTAGATTAGATTAGATTAGATTAGGTTAGGTTAGGTTAGGTTAGTTTAGGTTAGCCTTAATATTTATGAAAATATTAACACTGGCAAAAAAAAAATAATAATATTAATGAACAGAATAAGAGAGTGTAGAGTAAATACATACTCTAACCTAACCTGACTTAACCTTGATTGTCAGAGTTTGCCCTCCCTGACACGGGTAACCACCTCCCACAATCACCGTGGTGATATCTCTATTGGGGAAAATTTATAATTCTTGCCTGGACCAACCGGGGATCCGTGGTCAATAGTAATACCAAGGTGCACAACCCTGGGACCCACGCAATATATGGGTAAAAGTTTCAAGTCTTTAACTGCTTCCGTTTTGGAGCTGCAGACAGACAGACAGACAGACAGACAGACAGACAGACAGACAGACACGTCCTTTTATTTTTATAGATTCCTAGTTCTCTCGTTCACCCTTTTAAGGAAGAGCGTTCGACTGGAACTGGAACGTTGGAGTGGGCAATTGGACGTTGGAGTAGGAAGTGGAGCGTTGGCGTAAGCAGTGGAGCGTTGGAGAAGGCATTGGAGCTTTCAAGTCGGAGCTGGAGCGTTGGAGTATGAGGTGGAGCGTTGGAGTAAAGAGTGGATCGTTAGAAAGGGGGTTGGCGCGTTGGAGTAGGAACCGGAGCAATGGAGTAGACCTTAGAGCGTTGGAGTAGGGGATGGAGAGTTGGAGTAGGAGGTGGAGCGTTGGAGTAGAAGGTAGAGCGTTGGAGTAGGAGGTGGAGCGTTGGAGTATGAGGTGGAGCGTTGGAGTAAAGAGTGGATCGTTAGAGAAGGGGTTGGCGCGTTGGAGTAGGAACCGGAGCGTTGGAGTAGACGTTAGAGCGTTGGAGTTGGAGATGGAGAGTTGGAGTAGGAGGTGGAGCGTTGGAGTAGAATGTAGAGCGTTGGAGTAGGAGGTGGGGCGTTGGAGTAGGAGGTGGGGCGTTGGAGTAGGAGGCGGAGCGTTGTAATAGGTGGTGGAGCGTTGGAGTAAGGAGTGGATCGTTAGAGAAGGGGTGGCGCGTTGGAATAGGAACTGGAGCGCTGGAGTAGACGTTAGAGCGTTGGAGTAGGAGATGGAGAGTTGGAGTAGGAGGTGGAGCGTTGGAGTAGGAACTGGAGCGCTGGAGTAGACGTTAGAGCGTTGGAGTAGGAGATGGAGCGTTGGAGTGGTGGAGCGTTGGAGTAAGGAGTGGATCGTTAGAGAAGGGGTGGCGCGTTGGAATAGGAACTGGAGCGCTGGAGTAGACGTTAGAGCGTTGGAGTAGGAGATGGAGAGTTGGAGTAGGAGGTGGAGCGTTGGAGTAGGAACTGGAGCGCTGGAGTAGACGTTAGAGCGTTGGAGTAGGAGATGGGGAGTTGGAGTAGGAGGTGGAGCGTTGGAGTAGAAGGTAGAGCGTTGGAGTAGGAGGTGGGGCGTTGGAGTACGAGGTGGGGTATTGGAGTAGGAGGCGGAGCGTTGGAAGAGGAGGTAGAGCGTTGGAGTAAGGAGTGGATCGTTAGAGAAGGGGGTGGCGCGTTGGAGTAGACGTTAGAGCGTTGGAGTAGGAGATGGAGAGCTGGAGTGGACCGTTGGGGTCAGTAAGCAGTAGAGCATTGGAGTGGAGTGTCGGATTAGAAGGTGATTAGGTACAAGATGTTAGCCTCCACGATGGTAATTAATTTACTGGAACAGAGAAAAAAGTATTTTTTGTGTGTGTGTAAGTTGATATTTCGCCTCATGTACCGTAGAGGGAGGGTGGGGGGGATAGCTCAATCTAGCTGACCAGGTCTCCTCGATGTCTCCTTCCCCTCCTCCCCTCACTCTCACATGACTTTCTGCTGACTTGTTATTCACCTACGTCTTCAAACTCTTTCTAAGATTAAGAGAGAGAGAGATACTTGGCTCACATGGGTTCACCTAATATTGTAAAAAATCTAAGAACGAGTCAAAATATAGTTTTTTACCGTACTATCTCCTCCTCCTCCCACTACCCCCAGTGTCTCACAGGACGTGTATGTATCTTAAAGTTACCAGTTATTGACGGGAACGACTATGGCTACACTCTGTCTCTCTGTCTGTCTGTCTATCATTTTGTCATTGATACTTCCTCCAGGCGTTGACACTGTCACCTTGGCACTGCTACTATCCCTTTAGCATTATTATTGTCCCTTTGGCACTATTACTGCTCCTTCTACACCGCTACTGTCACCTTGGCACTGCTACTATCCCTTTAGCATTATTATTGTCCCTTTGGCACTATCACTGTCCCTTCTACACCACTACTGTCCCCATAATACTGTTACTGTCCCTTTAACACAATTACTGTCTCTTTTACGCCGCTACTGTCTCCTTGGCCTTCCCAATGTCCCATTGGCACTGGTACTGTCCCCTTGGGACTATCATTGTCCCATTTGCATTGCTACTGCCCTCTTGGCACTGGTAATGTTCCCTTAGCCCAGCTACTGTCCCCTTGGCACTGCTGCTGTTCCCTTAGCATTGCTTCTGTCCCCTTGGCACTGCTACTGTCTCCTTGGCACTGCTACTGTCCCCTTAGCATTGCTGCTGTCCCCTTGGCACTGCTACTGTCCCCTTGGCACTGCTACTGTCCCCTTGGCACTGTTACTGTCCCCTTAGCATTGCTACTGTCCCCTTGGCACTATTGGCACTACTTCTGTTCCCCTGACATCAATACCGCCTTCTTGATAATTGAAATTGTCTCCAGACACTAATACTGTCCTCCTGACACTAATACTGTACTCTTGGTTCCCCTGACGAATATCAATACCGCCTTCTTGATAATTGACGCTAATACTGTGACAGACACTACCCATGACACTAATACTGTCCTCCTGACACTAATACTGTACTCTTGGTATCAATACTGCCCTCCTGACACGAATATTGTCCTGGCACTAATACTGCCCTCCTGACACCAGTACTACCCTTCCGACACTAATACTGTCCTTCTGACGCTAATACTGCCTTCCTGACAGACACTACCTTCATGACACTAATACTGTCCTCCTGACACTAATACTGTACTCTTGGTATCAATACTGCCCTCCTGACACGAATATTGTCCTGGCACTAATACTGTCCTCCTGACACCAGTACTACCCTTCCGACACTAATACTGTCCTCTTGACCCTAATACTGTCTACCTAACACTAGTATTGTCCTCCTGACATTAGTACTGTTCTCCTGACACTAGTACTTAACATGACCTATATTTCCAAAGCTGTAGGTCTCAGCAACTGGCCAGGTATTGTCAGCTGGTCTATCATGCCTTCATGCCCGGGACTGTTGGTGACTATAGCATGTTGTGTTGCTCAGTCATAGACACTACAGGAGAATGTTAAACTGAACACCATCTTCATATAGAGACCAAACTTTCACTGCCTTCTAGAGTTGTATGTAGTACTTGAAACTTGATTCCCTAAAAACGCTAACAAAAATGTTATCTGTTGACTCCAGTGAAAATGAGAGCAAAGACGACTATGATGCTGCAAGATGGCATCAGTTCTTCCGGTTTTTCGACACTTGAACTAAATATGTCACATGAGCAAGGGCAACTAGCAGGAGAAAACTGGTAAAATACAAGTTCTCACTAGACTTAAATTATCAAGCTGCTAGAAATCTCTCTTATTCAGTCAGTCCACCTCTGTGTGTGCACATGCTGCTCCCGCAGCATGTGGGATGATAGTTCCCTCGGGTGACTGTAAGGAGGTTGACGCTAAAAGGGATGTATAAATTATGTACTGTAGTGTGTCAGCCACTACTCATCACCTGACACACACGGGGGTGGTGAGGAACATGGCAGGGAGACACTGCCAGTCATCCCAAACTACCTCAGATCTTTGACACTGGGTTATCGCTAACAACAGGTAAAGTTGCATCGAAGGGAAGGTAAAGAGCGCCTTGACTGATAGGCGGAAAAAAGCTCTAGGACTGTACATGTGATACTCCTAGATACAGTACAATGCTAAGGGTAACTAAACATGTTTGAAATGCGAAAAAAAGGGCGAGTATAGGTATAGCAAAGTACTCCCCCCACACACACTTACCCACACACACCCCCCACCACACACCCACATCGCCCACCACACACCCAAACCCCTTCTACACACACCTACGACAGCATCCCACTAAAGTCAAGGGATTCACCCTCGACCGAGGTGGGGGCGCTGCAGGAGATGGGGCACTTCCCGACTGGGCTGCCAGGGGAGCAAAAACGTCACCTTGGATACCCGCAAACAAAAACATTATGGAGCGCGATGACATTTACGTGTAGAGCGCGGCAGGTATATAAGGGGAGCGCTCCACTCCTCTTGGCATTCGGTCGCTCCTACATATCTCCATCATGAGGATTATTGTAAGTTGGAAAGACTTGTGGAGTCATCGTGCATTGTGGTGGAGGTGGAAAATTTTAGTGATGTGTGAGTGTGGCGTAGATATAAAATTAATGAGGAGCTGACGTGACGTGATAAGTTTGTGATGATGGTTAGTGTGGCCAACAACGAAAGAAGAAAACAAAACAAGTGACACTGGTTATTAAATATTTTGATAATATTCTTCTCGAGATCTCACCTCTAAGATATTTCACCAGAAAAAGAAATACTTTTTTTTCCATACAAAGATTCCTGTCTTCACTGCTGCAACAGATGACATTATATCTTAGTATACTTACCTTGCCTTTACAAACAAGACGTCAAATACTCTCCGGCCACTAGACACAGAGATACATTTATCCAGAGGTGTTGGCACAAGTCAGTAATCACACACACTGATACTAATTATTATCACAAGCAGCGTGTAATTATAATATTTAGTAGTGTTTGCATGATAACATTTAATTACAGTACCAGAGTGACCTTTGCTTAGACAGAAATCTAAAAAGATGTTCAAGCAGTTATATAAAGTTGCTTAGAAAGACCTTGTGGCTTGCTACGTCGTTCTGGTTGGCTATGATAACTAACTCGACACTAATAATACTAGTTTTAGAAAATTTTGACCAAATATAATCAGAATTAAAAAAAAAAACTATTTTCTCATAACTAAAATGACTAAAAGCATCTGGTTATGGTAGGATTTCGGTATTAGTGTGATGTCATTCAAATTGGTTATCAGTGTGGTTACATTAGTGAACCACTTAAGGTAAGCTAATTAAGTTACACATCTCTTAACAACGCCATGTTTACATTTATACTTATTTATATTTCACTGACTAAATCAGAACCCCCTAACGAATTGGGGCGTTAGGTTAGGTCAGGTTAGGTTAATCTCAAGATGAAATGAGCCTAGAGCTAATCTTCTTGGGATCCCATTATACATACATACATACATACATACATACATACATACATACATACATACATACATACATACATACATACATACATACATACATACATACATACATACATACATACATACATACATACATACATGCATACATACATACTTTTGTGTACCTCCCGGAGACGAGTCTAGTACCTAATATTTTAAGATGAAAATTCATAATGATTTTCATAGTTCATTTAGTGTGTAGGGTCCATCAGCGGCAGGTTCTTTCAGTGTCAGCTTTCTTTTTTTGTTTAGTGAAAAATTTCCTCGTTGATATCCTACGTCGGTGGTGCAGGTGAGGTAACAAATGTGGTGTTTCTCCAGGTGTGTGTACTGCTGGCAGTTGCCGGTACGAGCTCTGCACAAATCGTCAGAGGCTCAACCATACTCAATCAAAGACCCGGGAAACAAACGGCCGACACTGCCCAAGTACCTGCTACCCTCGCTGCTGATCCCAGTCCTATTGCTTCTGCTCCTGCTGCTCCCACTGCTTCAACGCCTGCCGGAGGTAGTGCAGCTACTCAGGCTTCTAAACAACAAAATTTAGGCAGAGGTTTCTTCGGTCCTGGCCTCAACAACCCTCTGGCGATCCCCGTTAGCCCCTTCGTGGCACAGCACGCCCAGAAAGTGCTCAAGATGCGCCCCGACTATCGAGTGGTGAGTTCTTTCGTTCACTTGTTAACTAATATAGCATTTGTTTTCGTCTCTTGAAGTCCATTGATTTGTGGTCCTTTACTGCTTGTATACTTAATATTCTCTGTAGTCTTGTCAGACGAGTTCTCTTATTGAATACAAGTTCTCCCAAACTAATCCGAAAAAATATGTAGAATAATTAATACAAACATCTCTTTCCTTTCAGTTCGTTGACATTGATGGCACGGCGCATTTCACTGACATGTTCGGCCGAGAGGTTGAAGAGTTTCTTGATCCTTTTGGCAATGATATGAGCGAACTCTTGGACCTTCAGGAGCAACAGGAGCGTCTCTTCGATGCCCAGCTAGAGCGGCAGCAACTTCTCCAAGAGACTCGCCAGAGAGAATTTGACCGCCGTCGCCAATTGCTAGAGTTGCAGCTGCTTCAGCAATTCCAGACCAACCCTACAGCTTTTGACCCCTCCATTGGAGCAAGTTTGGGCGCAGGTGGTAATTTGGGCGCTGGTGTTGGACTTGGCACATCTCAGACACAATCAGGCCATAGATTCAGTGGGTAGTTTTCCCCCGCTCAGACCTTTTTTTTTTTTACACATGATCCCGCTACCTTTCAAGTACTCTCATTTCCCTTCTATTTGTCTAACTACCTGACCCTGCCTACCTAACACCTGATCCCTCCTGCTTATTACCTATTCCTCAACCCTTCCCCTACCCTCCCCTCCCCCAATCATGTCAGGTGTCTTACCACCAAGTCTTGCACCAACCCTCACCACTCCCACAAGCTATACCTGTCCTCGACACACCAAGTCTAACACCATTATACACGTAAAGCTAATAATGGTATTCAATGTCACTTTGATCTTTGTATAAATTATTTCATAATAAATAAATACATATAAATGTACAAATTGATTTTGTTTCATTTGCTTAAAATTGATAAGGGAATTTTCATAGATCATGCATACATTAATGCTAAGGCTATTCTTTTCTAACCAACTTTTAATTTTAATTTTTAAACCTTTACTCTCAAAACAAGGGACCCCGTCCACAACAGTGAAGCGTCTTCAGACTTCTAGGTTCTCGAATTAATTTTTGTTCCTACTTTTTGGTGGCAATTGTACTTACTCTAAGATCTTTCTTATACATATAGATCCCGCCTCAACTTAAGCTTAATCTTTTCATCATATTCCAAGCATATGCCCGTCCAATAAACTCACAACAGCTCAGTCATTTATGACGTGTACTCGTATGTGTGTCTGGCACGCATAGAGCCTGCGGGCACAAAACATAATTATGTGTATTATATTCCACTTATACTTGCTAAATAATTATGAAGTACAGTATATCACTATTTGCAAATTTCTTCAGTTTGGTTTTACTTAACGTGTGAATTTATAATAATTTAGAGATTTTCAAAAATAAGGGAGGAAATACGAGGGGAGTACAGAGGTTGTAGGAGCATCTCTCAAGCATGCGGGTCAACAAGCCCTTGTAGTCAGTATTCAGCTGAGCGTTAAATAAACACACGCTAAGTATTAACAGGTGTTTTTGTGTAGCGTTCTTGACCATGTACTCACGACACGTCTGGCACTGTAGTCATAAAGACATATCAGATCGTGTTAGAATGTATCAATCTCCGACAGCGTGTTCTATAAAGCAGGGTACAATAAAGTGTTACTTATACAGGGGGGGGGGGGAGTATGCATGATTATTGGACTTAATGTTTGTTCATGTTGTCTCAGATGCTTCCAGGCGTGTCGAGAGTATATATCGGCAACAGTACGTTTGTCTGAGTGTACATATACGAGTTTCTGAGTGTACGTGTACGAGTATCTGAGTGTACGTGTACTAGTGTCTGAGTGTACGTGTACGTGTATCTGAGTGTACGTGTATGAATATCTGAGTGTACGTGTACGGGTATCTGAGTGTACGTGTACGGGTATCTGGGTGTACGTGTACGAGTATCTGAGTGTACGTGTATGAATATCTAAGTGTACGTGTACGGGTATCTGAGTGTACGTGTACTAGTATCTGAGTGTACGTGTACGAGTATCTGAGTGTACGTGTATGAATATCTGAGTGTACGTGTACGAGTATCTGAGTGTACGTGTATGAATATCTGAGTGTCCGAATATCTCGAATAATCTGAGTGTACGTGTACGGGTATCTGAGTGTACGTGTACGAGTATCTTAGTGTACGTGTACGAATATCTCGAATAATCTGAGTATACGTGTACGAGTATCTGAGTGTACGAGTATCTGAATGTACGTGTACGAATATCTGAGTATACGTGTACGAGTATCTGAGTGTCCGTGTACGAATATCTGAATGTACGTGTACGAGTAACTGAGTGTACGTGTACGAATATCTGAGTGTCCGAATATCTCGAATAATCTGAGTGTACGTGTACGATTATCTGAGTGCACGTGCACGAGTATCTGAGTGTACGTGTACGAATATCTGAATGTACGTGTACGAGTAACTGAGTGTACGTGTACGATTATCTGAGTGTACGTGCACGAGTATCTGAGTGTTCGTGTACGAGTATCTGAGTGTACGTGTACGAATATCTGAGTGTACGTGTGCAATTATCTGAGTGTACGAGTATCCGAATGTAAGTGTACGAATATCTGAGTGCACGTGTACGAGTATCTGAGCGCACGTGTACGAATATCTGAGTGTACGTGTACGAGTATCCGAGTGTACGTGTACGATTATCTGAGTTTACGAGTATCTGAGTGTACGTGTATCTGAGTGTACGTGTACGAATATCTGAGTGTACGTGTACGAGTATCTAAGTGTACGTGTACGATTATCTTAGTGTACGTGCACGAGTATCTGAGTGTACGTGTACGAGTATCTGAGTGTACGTGTACGAATATCTGAGTGTACGTGTACAAGTATCCGAGTGTACGTGTACGATTATCTGAGTGTACGTGTACGAGTATCTGAGTGTACGTGTACGAGTATCTGAGTGTACGTGTACGAGTGTCTGAGGGTACCTGCACGAGTGTCTGAGCGTACCTGCACGAGTGTCTGAGGGTACCTGCACGAGTGTCTGAGGGTACCCGCACGAGTGTCTCAGGGTACCTGCACGAGTGTCTGAGGGTACCCGCACGAGTGTCTGAGGGTAGCTGCACGAGTGTCTGTGGGTACCTGCTCGAGTGTCTGAGCGTACCTGTACGAGCGTCTGAGGGTACCTGCACGAGTGTCTGAGGGTACCCGCACGAGTGTCTGAGGGTACCCGCACGAGTGTCTGAGGGTACGTGCACGAATGTCTAAGGGTACGTGCACGAGTGTCTGAGGGTACCTGCACGAGTATTAGGGTGCTCTGGAGGGTACCTGCACGAGAGTGTCTGTGGGTACGTGCACGAGTGTCTGATGATACCTGCACGAGTGTCTGAGCGTACCTGCACGAGTGTCTGAGGGTACCCGCACGAGTGTCTGTTGGTACCCGCACGAGTGTCTGAGGGTACCGCACGAGTGTCTGTTGGTACCTGCACGAGTGTCTGAGGGTACCTGCACGAGTGTCTGTGGGTACCTGCACGAGTGTCTGAGGGTACCCGCACGAGTGTCTGAGGGTACCCGCACGAGTATCTCTTGGTACCCGCACGAGTGTCTGTGGGTACCCGCACGAGTGTCTGAGGGTACCCGCACGAGTGTCTGAGGGTACACGCACGAGTGTCTGTGGGTACCTGCACGAGTGTCTAAGGGTACCTGCATGAGTGTCTGTGGGTACCCGCACGAGTGTCTGAGGGTACCCGCACGAGTATCTCTTGGTACCCGCACGAGTGTCTGTGGGTACCCGCACGAGTGTCTGTGGGTACCTGCACGAGTGTCTGAGGGTACCTGCACGAGTGTCTGAGGGTACACGCACGAGTGTCTGTGGGTACCTGCACGAGTGTCTGAGGGTACCCGCACGAGTGTCTGAGAGTACCCGCACGAGTGTCTGAGGGTACCCGCACGAGTGTCTGTTGGTTCCCGCACGAGTGTCTGAGGGTACCTGCACGAGTGTCTGAGGGTACCTACACGAGTGTCTGAGGGTACCCGCACGAGTGTCTGAGGGTACCTGCACGAGTGTCTGAGGATACGTGCACGAGTGTCTTAAGGTACATGCACAAGTATACGAGTGCATGTGTACGAAAGTCTGGGTGTACGTGCACAAGCATTGAGTGTTTGTGTACGAGTGTCTGAGTGTCGGTGAACATCATCAACATGTGATTCGTGCACATGCTTACAGACGTTTCGTAAAAATGATTTGTTCTTCTTCAATATGTTACACTAGCAGGAGACAGATAGATAGATAGATAGATAGATAGAAAGATAGATAGATCTAAAAAGAATTCCTCATATATCAGTTCAAATACTGCAGAAATTAGACTTTCAGGGAAATAACCATTACATAAAATCCACCTTTAGTTTGACGATGGTAACAGGCGTGGAGCAATTACACTGTTGAACTATCACCGCTAAGAAGATATAAATATAGGGCCCCCAGAAGCCAGGCCAGGATGGCAACCTATCATAACCAGATACTGAGGAAGGTGAAGGTAAACACCTCACTCACACGCGTTCATATCCACAAACTCACTCAGTTCTACATAAGCTGACCTCCTCAAGTACACAGTCTGGAGAGAACCGGTGATAAAAAATGTTTTACAAAAGTGAAATAAGTTAATGAAATTAGAATCTGACACATACAAATAACAATGGCTATCTTTAGAAATTTTGCAGATGTTTCAATTTAATAAAAATAAAATAAAATATGTTATACTCGTATTTGTAATCCTGTATAATATCTCAAAAAATTTTCTGTCCACACTCTGAGTGATGCATTATGAGACCACGGATGATAGATATTGGGATACATTTAATTTGGTATATAGTTTATCTTAAGTGATGCAATGAGTATTTACTTGTTACCAAATGTAGTTGGATCAGTATGCCACAGAACCACGCATGCCAACCCTCCCGGGACATCACGAGTTGCATGTAGCATTTCGGAAGTCATCGGACCCATCCTGGCAGATATTTTTTTGAGATACTGTACATGTTTTCCTGTGTTGACCGATTCAACACGGCAAAAGTGGTGAGAAGGTGACTTACATTTTTAAATGAAACAACCAACACCATCAAAAAGAAAATTTACCTGATTTGTGATTTTCTGTTAAAAACTGAATATTTGAGTATTATTATGGAATACGTTAACCCACATTAGACATAAGGGGATAGAGCCTTAGAAGTACTGTAATTGATATTTTGGTGGAAAACAACCACACTCAGTTTCACATATATTACACCTTCTTTTAATTGGTAAAGTGTAATAGTTGAAATGGGATAGATACTGAGTGGTGGGTGAAGTGTAATAGGTGGAGTGTAATGGGTGAAGTGGGATGGGTGGAGTGAGGGAGGTAGATAACGATAGGTGGTGTGTGAAGTGCGGAGAGTGACTGTTGGAGAGTAATGAGTAGAGTGTGAAGGTGAAGAGAGATAGTGAACGCTGACATTTGAGTCTTGCGCACAGTCTGGAACTATATATAAGGCGCGCGCCGCGCTCCTCATTGCATTCAGTCCCAACTACGAGGCTCAAGCTTCATCATGAAGATTATTGTAAGTTGAGAAGCCTTATGGGGGAGCGGTGTAGTGTGGTGGTGATAAAAAGTTATATTGTGGCGCTTGTGTGTCGCTCATTTAAAATAAATGTGGCTTTGGCATAAAGTTGGTGTGGCGTTAATATACAGCACGATGTAGTAGATATGGTTAATGTTACCAACGAGGAATGATTTCAATTAGTCAAACCTACACGTTACACTCATTCCATTTATGATAACTTAACATGAAGGTGTTATTCAATTTCAATAAAATATGAAATTTATTTTTATTTTAATAAAAAAAAAGTGGTTGAAGTCTCACCAAACATATTATCGTCTTCCTTATGTTTTCCTCAGCTTAACAAAAAAATGCATAAGCAACTTTTCTTGATGTCTTAGCACAATTTATTTGACACATTATATCATCACAATGCTCTGCAGATAAATAAGTGAACGCCATTATCACAACACCACTTACTTTCATTCCCAATAAAAAGGTTGAACAAGAACGAGCGAATACCAAGAGGACTGACTGTTTTACATGATTTATATTTTCTTCATTAAAATCTATTCTATTCATTCTACTTTTATGTGGTTGCGGTTCCCAGAGTAGAGGCTCGTTCCTAAACACTAACAGTAGGTTTCCTTTATGATTCCTATAGTGATACTATTAAGTAGACGATTCTGCTGTAGCAGTTGTTGTCATTGGCACAAGTAATGGATAGGTTCTCCCAGTGGTAAGCTCCATAATCCCATCAGTTGGAAAAGCGTCGGTAAAGTTCCTTCAGTTGTGTAAGGTGGTGGGTAGGTCCCACAGTGAACGGTCCCTCCAGTGAGAGACTATAACTAACACCAGTGTTTGTTTCTCCAGGTGTGTGTCCTTCTGGCAGCAGCCACCATGACTGCTGCAAAACCGCAGACTGCCGCCACCGAAGACGCTACAACCCTCTCTGCTGATCCCTCCCCTGCTGCTGATCCCTCCCCTGCTGCTGATCCCTCCCCTGTTACTGATCCCTCCCCTGCTGCTGATCCCTCCCCTGCTACTGATCCCTCCCCTGCTGCTGATCCCTCCCCTGCTGCTGATCCCTCCCCTGTTACTGATCCCTCCCCTGCTGCTGATCCCTCCTGCTGATCCCTCCCCTGCTGCTGATCCCTCCCCTGCTACTGATCCCTCCCCTGCTGCTGATCCCTCCCCTGCTGCTAATCCCTCCCCTGCTGCTAATCCTTCTCCTGCTGCTAATCCTTCCCCTGCTGCCGATCCCGCTCCAGGTGCCACTGCAACAACGTCTGCTAAGTCTTCTGCATCCCCTACCACTGCGCCTGCTGCAAGTGGTGCATCTCGTGTTAATCCATCTTTCTTCGGTCCTGGCCTCAATAACCAAGCAGCAATCCCTGTTAACCCCATGGTGGTACAACACGCCAACAAAGTGCTTGCCACACACCCACACCTCCGAGTGGTAAGTGCTGACTTATTTCTTTATCTTTATTGGGTAACCAACAGTCTTCAAATCTTAGCACCAGTATTCAAGAACAAACACCTCTTTATCTCCTCATTGACCCATTGCTTCTGTGTTCCCTGACTATTTAAATGTCTAACATATGCATAGCTTTCAGACGAGTCCTCGTATGATTATGAGTTCTCCTAAATTTTTCCAAAACAAGAGGAATGATTAATAGTTCCACAAGATTTTGGAATAATTCACATTTAGCTCTTGAAGATACTCTTTTTATTACATTTATTGTGTTTTTCTCGAGAAAAAAGTGTGACTATAGAAACAGCCTTCTAACATCATTTTACTTGCAGTTCGTCGATATCGATGGTACGGCGCACTTCACTGACATATACGGCCGCGAGGTCGAGGAGGTTTTAGATCAGTTCGGCCATGACTTGGCCGAACTCTTGGACGTTCAGGAACAGCAGGAGCGTCTCTTAGATGCGCGTCAGAAACAGCAGCTCCTCCAAACAGCGACTCGCAACAGAGAATTTGAGCGCCGTCTCAAACAGCTGGAGTTGCAGCTGATGAAAGATTTCCAGACCAACCCCTCAACTTTTGACCCGCCAGCAAGAATGGGTGCTTCTGGCGCTGGTGGCCACAGATTTAGTTCGTAAAGTTTATTCACCGCCCTGACCCTCCCTCACTCTTGCTGTAACTATTCCCCATAAGATCATCACTTCTTGTCTACCTTAGCAGTGCATCCGGAAAGTCCTCCCACTTACCTAACTACTGTAATATTGACAGTATGTTGCTTCATGTTCTTCATCACCTGATCGTGCCAACCTTACCACTTGATCCAACCCATCAGTTGAACCTAATAGTCTATCATTTCATTCATCCAGTGACCTAATCCTCACGGTTATCCGTTCTTGCGAGTTTATCATTTGATCCTCCCACTCGCCTCATCTCCTCAGACTACCAGTTGATCCTTTCACCCACTTGATCCTGACGACCTATTACCTATTCCTGAACCTCTACCCTGTCCACATCCTTTCCATCCTTGTGTTGTCTTACTGTACCGCCAAGTCTTGCACCAACTCTCACCACTACCAGAGGCTACACCTGTCCTCGACAGTGCAAGTCTGACACAATTATACACGTAATATTTTTAATTTATTTAAAGTCAAAATTACCTTGACATTTGTAAAACTATTTCGTAATAAATTATTAAATATATACAAACATTATTTTTTTATTTCCATTGTACCTTTTGCTTAGTGTTGAAATGTTATATTATGAGTGAGAAAAGGGTTATCAAGGTAGATTTCCACCCTTAACGTCACTAAGAATTGTACAAAATTGGATTCATTACGATATATACATTAAGTGGTCACATGTTAAACTATGCAAACAACCTTGTACATAGACAGAGATTAACATATATAATTAATCATAATTATGGAAGAATAATTCACCATATTAGATGCTTCCCATCTCTTAAGACTTTTATTTCCGAAACATAAAGAACCCATCCGTTTAGACATCTCGAATTTATAAATTGTGGTACTTATTCCAGTACGCACATTTATAGAGGTAAGATATTTCTAATATATACGGATCAGGACTTAATTAAAGTTAGTTCTTGTCATTTATTAACGGAAAGTTTACGTATTCTTTGTAAATGTTAAGTCGACATCATGGATGAGCTATTATATGAACATGCGTGGACAGCTAGGTAAAAATATATCGACGTCTTTTTGAAGCGAAGTTTTATTTTTTCTGAGATGAGAGTTACTCTGCTACCTACATAATACAAGACCAGGTGGTAGCCCTGTTACCTACATAATACAACACCAGGTGGTAGCCCTGTTACCTACATAATACAACACCAGGTGGTAGCCCTGTTACCTACATAATACAGGACCAGGTGGTAGCCCTGTTACCTACATAATACAACACCAGGTGGTAGCCCTGTTACCTACATAATACAACACCAGGTGGTAGCCCTGTTACCTACATAATACAGGTGGTAGCCCTGTTACCTACATAATACAAGACCAGGTGGTAGCCCTGTTACCTACATAATACAACACCAGGTGGTAGCCCTGTTACCTACATAATACAGGACCAGGTGGTAGCCCTGTTACCTACATAATACAGGACCAGGTGGTAGCCCTGTTACCTACCTAATACAAGACCAGGCGGTAGCCCTGCTGAAGTATGTGTAATATTTACCTCGATATTTATTACACCACAAACCCACGACAGCAGTACGTGATATTCCAGTGATCGAAAAAGGAAAATAAAGAGCTTCTGGAAAGCACAACATATTATCATCCATTAGTACATTAAATCTCCTTTCTCATCGTACCTGTTGTCGCTGTTAGGATGTTTATTATTAGCTAGAATATATGAGACCGAGTTAATTTGTCTAACGAAAAATAATGATAGAATTTGCAAGGAAGGATAAGGTAAGAGTGTCGATACTTATAAACGACTCTTGTTCATCTGAAGGGAATTATACCACAGTCAAACATATGCCATAACAAGACAACATAACTACACACGTCTGTTTACATATTGTTCATCAGTGTAGCCATAATAATAACTTACTGGCTGACTATACACGTGTAACAGGTTGCGGGGCGGCCGAGTGGCTACAGCACTCGCCTTCTGTCCTAAGGATTCCTTGTTCACCTGCGGGGCACCACTCGTCCACCCAGCTGCGAATGGGTACCTAACTTTATAGACCGTGGTAGGAAAAGCGGTTGAGTGCAACTCCGTCCACAGAGCCTCCTTAAGTAACAATAAAAGGCTAAGTCTACGGTGTGCTGTGCCCACATTGCCCTGCAGGCAGTTAGGCCTAAAGGATCTACTTTCACTCGCGTCACACACTTATGTATCTATGGTTATCCTTAATTTTCAGAAGCCAAACTCATTAACCAAACGCTGTCGGGAGAATAAAAAAAAGTTTCAGAAAGGTTAAACAACTTAACGGAAATGGAACTGAAAACAAATAAAAAACAAACAGCTTCTATAGAAAAGTTACAGAAATTCAAATTCAATAAGAATAGAAATTATACATCTTTGACCTCATATCACAATACGTTTTTTTTTTCTCAAATCAACACTTACGAACACTTAAACTCTTAATATCTTAATCGAGACGTCGGCCAAACCAAAGAGACCAATAACATTCATTAAGTGCGAACGTCTTTTAACAAATTGAATTTTTTGCACTTTAAAAGGAGTAAGTTACGTCACCTGATATACTGGGATAATATCACTAAAAATAATCGTAATAACATCATTAGAACCACAATGACTTTCCTTCATATTAATTACATCATATGAGAACAGTGTGACGGGTTAATGTTAATCGGCGGTGTGTGAAGGGCGGAGAGTGACTGGTGGAGGATAATGGAGAGACTACAGTAAAGGTGAAGAGTGATGGCGAACGCTGACATTTGGGTCTGGCGCAGTCTGGTATATAAGGCGGGCACCGCACTCCTCCTTGCATTCAGTCTTACCACAAACCTCAAGCTTCATCATGAGGATTATTGTAAGTTGAGGAGCATTGTGGATTAGCTGTGCAATGTGGTGATGGTGTAGTGGTGTTCTTGTGGCGTTTGTGTGACGTTCATTTAATGTTAAATTGTTGGCATAACGTTGATGTAGCGCTAATATTCAGCGGTAAGTGTCGCAGTGACGGTTAGTGTGGCCGAGCAGGAGTAGTATCAGTTATGGTCAAGCCTACAAGTTTCATTAACTTTAGTTATGAGAAATCAACGCAAAGACATTATCGATGTTCACTAATATATGAAATTTTACTTCCTTTTACTGCAGTAATAAGTACGAGATTTCACATTTGAGAAATAATTGTCTTATTGTTACAAAAAAAAATCATATTCTTTAGTCTTTCCCTTAGTCTAACGCTAGATATTACGCTAACTGAAACTAAACGGACAAACAGGTTAATCCTTCGCGATGGGCTAGCATAATTTAGTTATCACACATTTCATATTCGTATAGCATTTTCACAATGCCCTGCATTGAAATAAGTGAACGCCATTATCACAACACCACTCACTTGCATTCCTACAGTGAAATCCTGCATTAATAAAACCCAATAAAAAGGTTGAACAAGAACGAGCGAATACCAAGAGGACTGACTGTTTTACATGATTTATATTTTCTTTATTAAAATCTATTCTATTCATTCTACTTTTATGTGGTTGCGGTTCCCGGAATAGAGGCTCGTTCCTAAACACTAACAGTAGGTTTCCTTTATAATTCCTAGTGTTACTATTATGTAGAGGATTCCGCTGTAGCAGTTGTTGTCATTGGCACAAGTAATGGATAGGTTCTCCCAGTGGTAAGCTCCATGATCCCATCAGTTGGAAAAGCGTCGGTAAAGTTCCTTCAGTTGTGTAAGGTGGTGGGTAGGTCCCACAGTGAACGGTCCCTCCAGTGAGACTATAACTAACACCAGTGTTTGTTTCTCCAGGTGTGTGTCCTTCTGGCAGCAGCCACCATGACTGCTGCAAAACCGCAGACTGCCGCCACCGAAGACGCTACAACCCTCTCTGCTGATCCCTCCCCTGCTACTGATCCCTCCCTTGCTGCTGATCCCTCCCCTGCTACCGATCCCGCTCCAGGTGCCACTGCTACAAAGCCTTCTGCATCCCCTACCACTGCGCCTGCTGCAACTGGTGCAACTCCTCTTAATCCATCTTTCTTCGGTCCTGGCCTCAATAACCAAGCAGCAATCCCTGTTAACCCCATGGTGGTACAACACGCCAACAAAGTGCTTGCCACACACCCACACCTCCGAGTGGTAAGTGCCGACTAATTTTTTATATTTATTGGGTAACCAACAGTCTTCAAATCTTAGCACCAGTATTCAAGAACAAACACCTCTTTATCTCCTCATTTACCCATTGCTTCTGTGTCCCCTGGCTACTGAAATGTTTAATAACTGCATTCCTCTGTAGTGAGTGCTCCCAAATTAATCCCCAAAACGATGATTGATTAATATTTCCACAAACGTTTGGAATAATTCACATTAACTCTTGAAGGAATATGTCTGCAATGTACTTAATGTTTTTAAGTCACGAAAAACTAATACAATAGGATAAACAATTTTATAACATTTATTGACTTACAGTTCGTTGACGTCGATGGCACGGCGCGCTTCACTGACATATATGGCCGCGAGGTTGAGGAGGTCTTAGATCAGTTCGGCCATGACTTGGCTGAACTATTGGACGTTCAGGAACAGCAGGAACTTCTCTTGCAAAACCAGCAACAGCAACAGCAACTTCAGATGGTTCGCAAGGGTGAATTTGATCGCCGTCGCAAACAGCTGGAGTTAAAGCTGCTTCAGGAGTTTCAGAGCAACCCTGCAGCTTTTGACCCGCCCGCAGGAGCTGGTGCTTCTGGCATTGGTGCTGAAGGCCAAGCTTAAAAATAGGTCAAGTTAAGGATTAAGAGTGTAATGTTTATTCACCTCCCTGACTCACCCTTACTATACCCGAAACTATTCACCGCAATATTAACAGTACCTGGCTTTCTTAGTACTGTACACTGAATATACCACTTGATCCTTCTCATTATCTGATCCTGTTTGCCTATCACCTGAGTTTATCCATATTCTGATTCTGCCAATCCTACCACTTGATCCAACCCATCACTTGAACTTGACTGCCTATTACCTATTCCTGAACCCCTCCCCTGCCCACACCTTTTCTCCTTCCCTCCCTGTGTTTTGTTTTATCACCAAGTCTTGCACCAACTCTCACCACGACCACAGGCTACACCTGTCCTCGGCACTGCTTGTTCAACGCGAATATATACAGAATATAAAATTATTTAAAATTAATATTACTTTGACATTTGTATGAATTATTCCGTAATAATATATATATATATATATATATATATATATATATATATATATATATATATATATATATATATATATATATATATATATATATATATATATACTGTATGTGTTAATTTATTTATTTATACACAAGTAATATTTGTTCACTTCCACTGTACGTTTTTCCTAATGTTGAAATGCTATGTTATGAGTGAGCAAAGACTTATAAAGGGAAAAAGGACTTCTGTCCTTATCGTCAGTGAGAATTATACAAAATTGGATTTAGAGCGATAAATACATTAAGTGGTGGCCTGTTATGTTAAACTATACAAACAACTTGTACACAGGCAGAATTGCCACATATCATAATTCCTATATATTAACATTGAGGTGGAATAAACCGATGTGTCATATTATTCCCATTTCTAGACTTTAATTCTCAAAGCAAAAGGAACCCCAACGATTTAGTCTCGAGTTATTATATATTATACGTAAATGTAAAGGGCCGAGGTCAACATCGTGGATCAGATACAGTACATAAACATATTTGTGAAGTCTGAGATAAGAGTCAAACTGCTACCCACATGATATAAAACCAGAATATACTCTTTCACAATCATTCGACAGACTTACGTGATATTCAGATGATAGAAGGAAAACATAGAGTTTCAAGAAAACATGAAAAATATAATGACGTACTAGTAACCTTTACGGCAATGAAACGGCAATAATATTGACTAACAACGAGGAGCTTCCATAAAAACAATCAAATGATGTGTTGCGAACTTGCGAGGTATGTCAGCCAACAGTATAATTGGCTTGACATTGTTTAGATTATACTGATGAATTTCGAAGAGTTAATAGAGAAATATTATCGCTTTGCAGGCGGATAAATTTCTTATCAACGACTCAAGAAAGACTAATCCATTATAAAAATGGCAAAATCTCAAGTTTCATGTAGCCCCCACCAAACTACGACTACATATGAAATGTTCTTCCAAACATTAAAGTGAACCGTGTGAATAGATCATAATATCTATGATCGAGAATCGCTTGACTGTGAATTGCGTCCTCACACCTGACTGAGCTCGGTTATGAGCTCTACATGATCCCCCTGTCATGAAGTTAATGGAACTTCTCGTTGTTAATATTTTTCACAAATCTCCACACGAATATTGTGTTGTGCAGTAGTGTCTTTTTACGATATGACTCAGTGCTTTAGAATTAGGAACGGATAATTCCTCTTAAAACCCCACTGACTTTGTAGTTGTTATAACGTTATTACTGCCCTTCAACAACAAAGGTCTTTAAACGCGTAACAAGGTTAGTAATTATATTCACTAGTCCAAAAACATGAAAAAATTATGAGAAAAAGCTTTCTATTGAGTCACGTTAATAGAAAAACGTCCCTTTCTTATTATTTAGTTTTAAGTATAGTGAATTCCCGTTTTGTTCTCCTGAAAGCTCTGGAAACTGAATTCAGGTTCTCATCACTTCAGTTCTACATAACCATCTTCAGCTAATATCTTATTTTATTGACTCGTATTTCTGGTGACAAGACTACTAGAGAGCTCCATTTTGTGTGACTACTGCAGCTATTACTGCTACTTTAATACTTTTACTTCTAGTCAGACTATTGCTATTGCAACAACTTTAATTAGAATGTTACTTATGAAATGTGTAGATGGCAAACTATAGGTAACAGATCTACGGTTTCATTATACCTAAGGTCGTTACAAGAAACTCGAGAGTATTAACTAACAACTATAATACAGTTTAAGGGACTGAGTTCGCTTTCTCTAACTACAAAAATCATGAAATAATTAACAAGAGAGTAGTTGAAGATGAAGGTAATAGTATCAACATTACAAACGATTCTTATTTTTCTGAAGGGAAATACGTCACAAACACACGTTTCATAAGTCAATATAACTACATTCTTTTGTTTAGATATTGTTTGATAATGTATCCATACTAATAATTTACTGGCTGACTGTACACGTGTCACTGGTTGCGGTGGTTGAGGGGTTACAGCATTTGCCTTTCGTCCTTAGGGTTCCTGGATCACACTCGGGGCATTTCTAGTCCACCTAGCTGCGAATGGTTACCTAAATCCGTCCACACTGCCTCCTTGCGTAACTATAAAAGGCTTAATCTACGGTGTGCTGTATCCACGCTGCTCCCGCAGGCAGTCAGGCCTTGAGGATCTACTTTAATTCGCGTCACACACATTCAATATGTACAGTACAGTCCCGGACTTTTCAACGTTGAACACCCAGCCAGACGACCAGAGAGGTAGAATTAGCTGATGATCTGGTAACAGTGTGTGTGTGTGTGTGTGTGTGTGCGGGGGCGTGGGAGGGCGAGGGGAAAAGATGGGGGAGTACTTGAGTTCCGTGCTGCATAATATAATCATACATTATTTCGCACACAAAAGAGTGATGGAAGTGGAAGAGGTGATTATGGTGTAGGAATACGTATTTACAGTAGCATCACGTTGTTTGATTTATTGGGGTGTAATTGGTTATCTCTAATCTGAGGCTCCAAATCCAGAGAAACACGTAACCTTTACCTACCCGCACTACTGCTACCCTTCTTCGGGTAAGGACAGTTTGGGAAGACAGGTGCCAGTCAATGATTGATGTCGACCAATTTCTTAGTTATAATTATTTTACAAATCCGACATAAAACTTTAAGCTGATACACATTATTAGGTGATTTAGCTGCTCTTATATGTACATTATATTTCATGCGAGCATTAACAGCTTATAATGAAACCCTCAACAGTGCCGGTCATCTTAATTCTGTTGGTTGTAGCACTTGTAAGTACGTTACCCCCCACTATTATAACTTTCTTAGATCTTCCTTTTTCACACCTCAGTGACCCTGAGTTTTTACTGTTCCTTAATCAGTATCAATGTTCCTACAATGATGATGCTAGTGTCATTCCCCGAGATGTGCTAGATCGTATGTGTTACACCCCCTTTACCCATGGTGTCGACACAATACTCCCTCATATCGATCCTGATGCCTTTCTGCAAAACTCACTGGGTTACACCAACCCCAACTGTAACTATTACTTTCCTGACTCTCCCGAGTTTAGTTCTAGTCTCCTACTACCTCATTCCTTCTCCTTGATTAGCCATAACATCAGCAGTATTCCCCTTCATCTGGATACCTTTTTAGATCAGTGTTTATCTTCTATTGCCCACAAATTTGATGTACTTGGGTTCTGTGAGACCAAACTCACTAACGATATTGAACATTTGTATAACATTCCTAATTATAATAGACGTCAACACGACACAGTGGTGGTGTCGCCCTATATGTTGATATCAAGTATAACACTTCTGTAAGAGATGATTTAAAGGTTCAGGAGGAGTACATGGAATGTTTTCACTGAATTACGTAACGACACACGAAATATCCTAGTAGGAGTAATCTACAGAAGACTCCACACTAATGTAAGGAATCTTCTTGATAAATTTTCGGAGCTTATCTCTATCATAAGTTCAGAGGGGAAACTTTGCTACATTACAGATTTCAACCTTGATCTATTAAAATCAGAAACCGACACCTCAGTATTACACCTTCTTGCTACCTGTCATTCTAAACTCTTCTTCAACACTATAACCAAACCCACTAGAGTAACTGCCACCTCTGCCACTGTGATAGATCATATCTGGACTAACAACACTCCTAACAATCTTGCAAGTGGAATTATTTATAACAATATCTCAGATCACTTCCCAGTTTTTGCCATGTATAAAACAGCCACAAGACCTGAAAGGTCTAGTAGTCTCAATACAATACAGAGACTACTGCGCCGATGACATGCTCCTTTTTTAAAAACAACCTAATGAATGCTAAAGGATCTTGTCTATGCCTCCGACAACCCTAACGTGAACAGCTGCAACTTCTCTTGCATCTTCAATGCTTGCTTTGATAAATGCTTCCTCCTCAAGACTAAGTCAGTGAAAACTGTATCCATTTCCAAACCCTATATCACGAGCGAAATTAAGATAATGATAAAACAAAAACACAAACTTCAAAGGAAATTTGCAGACCCATAACTTTCGGTGATGCTTACCGAAGTATCAGAAATAGAGTAACTCAAGCAGTTAGAAATGCCAGACGTAGCTATTATACAAATGAGCTTCAGTCAGCATCAGGCGACAGTAAAAAAAACCCGGAATGTCATAAACTCTATTCATAACAGGAACACTCAGCCTTCGACCCCCCCACTCAGCTTTTATGATAAATGATTCAGTTGTAACGGAACCCTCCCTCATTGCCAACCACTTCAATGAATATTTTATTTATGCTGGTAAAAATCTTGCAGAGGGGATTCCTGATCACCATGAGGAATTTAGAGCTTACCTGCAAAACAGACAGCAAAATGAGCTGTTCTTATCCCCTGTCCAAAAATGCAGCAGCAGGCAAAGACAATATACCAATGAGCATCATTAAGAAAGTAACCCACTTATTACTACCTGTTCTCCTAAACATTTGTAACTCCTCCTTCACTAGTGGTGTATTTCTGGATAAAATAAAAAGTGCTAAAGTTCACCCAGCATATAAAAAATCTGGGGACAAAGGTCTCTTCAAGAATTACCGCCCCATATCAGTCCTCCCAGCCTTGAGTAAGATACTGGAGAAGCTAGAATGTAGGAGACTAAATTCCTTCTGCAATGCCAATAACATCTTAACAGACTCCCAGTTTGGATTTAGAGCTAGAAGGTCGACTGAGAGTGCTCTGCTATCCTTTACTAATGACATCTTAAATTCTTTTGATAATAGTCAGTTCACAGTCGGTATATTCTTGGACCTCTCTAAAGCCTTCGATACTGTCGACCATACCATCCTCCTTTCAAAGCTTGAACATTACGGCGTTAGGGGCCTGTCCCACAATTGGTTTACCTCATATCTGTCCAACAGGAAGCAGTATGTCTGTTATAATAATCACCAATCTGACTCATCGCCAATCTTGTATGGTTCCATTCTC